TTGGACCATTTTGCAGTCCCCCAGCAATGCAGGAGTGTCCCAGTCTCTCCACATCCTCGCCAGCATTTATTGTCCTCAACTTTTTTAATCCTTGCTGTTATTGCTGGTGTGAGATGATACCAAGGGATGATCTTGATAGATTTTCTGAAAAGACACAGGAGGATCATGGGGGCTTATTAGGAAGAAGTTTTAAGAAAAATTGAATTTGCATTGGTGAGAAAAAGGCCAGGAAAGTTGTGCCCAGGAAAATTTTTTTCTCATGGTAAAGTACTTGCTCATTCTTTGCGGGTGGTGGTGGTTATGTTATGTGCCATGGTGTTGGTTCCGACTCACAGCGACCCTGTATAGGGTTTTCTGAGGCTGGAAATCTTTACTGGCGCACAAAGCCTCATCTTTGTCCTGCGGAACAGCTGGTAATTTTGAACTGCTGACCTTGCGGCTCACAGCCCGATTTGTAACCACTACGTTGAAAACCACTGACATAGATTAAAAACTAGGTTGATGAGAGTAGGGGCAATTTGACCCTCTTATACGAGTCCTGGTGTGGCGCTGTGGGTTAATGCACCAGACTGCAAAGCCGTTTGAACTGCAAGGTTAGCTTGTTCAAGTTCACCAGCTGCTCCTTGGAAGCGCTATACAGACAGCGTCACTATGGGTCGGACCCGACTCTGCAGCACATAACAACAACAACAACAACATAACATTGCCTTTGTATATATGTAAATTTGTACAACCACTGTGGCAGGAGAGTGGCAGTAATCAAAATTACAAATGCATGTATCCTTTAACTCAAAAATTCTTTTCTAGATGCTGATTCTGTGGGCAAAATTAGCTTTGTATAGTTACCCATTGTAACCCAAAGGACTAACTGTTCATTAAAAGGGAACTTTTTGAACACATAGAAATCATATAGTAAAATACTGTGCCGCTGACAAAAAGCCCAAGGAAAGAAAATCTAAATACAGTTAAACAAACATTGCTTACCATTCGTTCTGGCAACATCCAGCTGTATATATATCTATGGTCCCTTTAAAAAAATTTTTGGTAAAGGAATGTAGCTCTCCTTTTCCTAATTATTGTGTCGCTGTAGGATCAGCACTGGACTGCAAACCACAAGGTCAGCAGTTCAAACTTACCATCTTCTTCTCAGAAACCATACACAGGGTCACTATGAGTCAGAACTGACTCGACGGCACTTAACAACAACAATGGTTGTCCAGGACTGTTAACTGCAAGAGCAGGTTGCTGGTTCAACCCCACTAGCTGCTCCTTGGAAACCTATACAGGGCCAGAACCAGCTCAACAATACTTAGCAACGACAGCAATAGTAATAGTTTTAAAGATCTCCAAACCCCCAGAGTTTGGAATGAATATTCAAGGCACTACTCTGTCCTTGGAATTCCTGTTCCTCCATCTCCTCCTTTCCCACCCTGTCTTTTATTCACACACCCAGCAATCTTTCATTCTTGTCACAAACCTGAGCTGACCCCTGCACCTCTGCTTCAGCTGTGAGCACTGCAGCTGACATTGTACAAATGAGTGCTCGTAGGCTCCTGGCTCCAGGTGGTGGAAGCATATGATCAGAAGGGGCTGCACCAACAGGGAGATGGCAGCCAGGGCCAATACTGCCAGCCTCGTTCCCGACACCTTCAACCCACTCCGCATGCAGTCCCCATGGCCACCTCTCTGTATGTCCTACCTCCCCAACTGTCTATGCAGCCCTTGTCCAGCCCAGCTGCACATCCAGCAAAACTGGCCTCCTGTAGACTGTGGATACAGCTCTTGAGCTTTTGTCAGGTGGGCTCACATAAGATTTTAATAAAATTAATAAAAATAGACTACAGCGATTTAACTAAGGATTGTACTGCCTGAGTATAATACGGTGTTTGTACAATGTCCAAATTATATAACATCCTGTTTCACAGACTGCATCATGGGCCTTAAATGGCACTTGTTTTGCCCTGCTGTTGTATAAAGATGAAGAACATGTATTTATTTTCTTTAAACTTTGCATAACATAGTGGTTATAAGTTGGGCTGCTAACCTCAAGGTCAGCAGTTAAAAACTACCAGCTGTTCCACAGCAGAATGATGAGGCTTTCTGCTCCCGTAAAGATTTATGCCCTCAGAAAGATTGTGCAGGGTCACTATGACTCAGAACTGACTCCACGGCATACCACCACCATAGGTATAAACTATCTTTGGAAAGATACGTAGAAATCACTAATGCTATTTGGGGAGAAAAGCTGAATTTCTGGGGTCACAAGTGCATGGGAGACTTTTATCCTTTTTTGCATATTGAATCATTGGAAATGCATTGTTTGTTTGGAAAGTATATATTGTAAGTAAAATAGAGAAATGGAACAAGAGAGTAGGTATAGCTCTGGGCACTTGTTGTGTGCTGAGTTGATTCCAACTCATAACCACCCTATATAGGGTTTCCAAGCCTTTCTATCTCTATGGAAGCTGAAAGCCTCTTTCTCCCTTGGAGCAGCTGGTGGATTTGAATCCCTGACCCTCTTAATCACAATAATTCTATGAGGATTCTGGTTTACCTGATTTGTAAGGTAATCCAGAACTTAGGTACGTTGTATAATGTAATCAAATTGCATAGGTAGTATAAGTGATAGTGCTAGAATTTTTAGCCTAAGTCTTTTAGATTGTAAAATAATTTTTTTTACCCTCTGCACTGCAAATAGCAACCATATGTAAGGATTTAAAAAATTGAAGACCTATTAACTTTTCATGAATTAGTTATTGCCTAGTGGGTTACACGTTGGGCTGCGAATAGCAAGGTCAGCAGTTTGAATCCACCAGCTGCTCCTAGGGAGAAAGAGGAGGGTTTCTGCTCCTGTAAAGATTTACAGCTTCGGAAACCCTGAGCACCACCGCCACCACCACTCTCAAGAGTTCACAAATAAATATCGGTAGGCATTTCTTTAAAATGCAGTGTGGTGAAATATTTTCAAATTTGAGATGAATTATTACCCATGCTTTTATTTACTTATTGATTTATTTCTATATATACAGTTCAGTGACTTTGGTTTCTTAAAGTTGTGCCGCCTTTCTTGATACCCTTTCCTGAATCATTTCGCCATCATCCATAAACATTCATTGTTCCTTTAGTTTCTCGTATAAACCTTTTAAGTTGCTGCCGTCAGTTTGTTCTTACAGAGATAATTCTTTAAAAGAACGTGATGTTCAAGGTGGATATTGTTTCCTAATTAAGTTGGTTGAAAGGTGACTTGAAGGTTAAGCTTTAATCATTTCATCAGGGCAGTTTGTGGGGAGGAGGATGTCATCCAGCTTCACTGGCTCCAGATGGTATGGATTCCAAGTGAATTTGAAGTTATGTTGGACATTTCCCCCTTTATTAATCAGGGTCCTTTTATAGAATCTCTGATCGAATCATTTAGTAGTGGTAGCTAGGTGCTGATTCATTTTTTTAAAGCTCCAAACTAATAGTCATTTGCTGGTTGAGATCATCCTGTTTCCTATCTATAACTATGAAATTTTAAAGAAGAGAATATTGGGGGAAACAGCTTTTGTTCCACATAGAAATTTTAATTAACTTTTTTTTTTTAGGTTCCCATGGGTGAACTACCAAGATGGCAATCTCAACATTTCCATCCCAGTGTTTAGTATACACGGTAACCATGATGATCCCACAGGGGTAATTACTGTATTCAGATTGTTGGTTGAAATTTTAGAAATGACCAGTTTACTTACACCTGCAAAGTATCTTTCCCCTTCTTTCTAGAAATTTGTAGTTATATTGGCTTTGTCAATAAGTAGATATCACTCATTTAAGCTTTTATGATAACTTATTTTACTTCTTTTTCTAGTCTGGAATAAGTGTGTGGTGTGTGGAGCAGGCTTTTGTTTCATTAGTGACCGGGAGTAGGAATACACACCTAGCAGTTGTAATGTGCTTTACAGTTTACCAAGTGCTTTTGTATCTGTTATAAAATGTCACCTGTTGGAAGTGATTGTTTCACCAGCAGTTTTAGAACTAGATGAGGTTATCTTATTTCCTGTAGAGTTCATTTCAACTCATAGTAACCCAGTAGAAGTCTCCCTTAGGGTTTCCTCGACTCTAATCTTCTCTGAAGGAGATTGCAAAATCCTATGGAGCCATTAGGTGGGTTTGAACCACCAACCTTTCGGTTAACAGCTGAGTGCCGTTCTGATTTCATCATAAGGACTCCTGGAAAGTAAGACAAAAGGTTCAAACCTCAAAATACCTTTTAGTCTTATCTGCTCATTGCTGTTATAAATCACTGTTTGTTGTTGTTGTGATTCCGACTCATAGTGACCCTGTATAGGGTTTCCAAGGAGCAGCTGTTGAGCTTGAACTGCCGACCTTGCAGTTCTAATGGCTTTGCAGTCTGGCGCATTAACCCACAGCGCCACACCTAGTCTTTTTCCCCAGGTTTTGAGAGCTTTGCTTAATGTCACAAAGCATTTATTTCATGGTCTGTTTTAATTTTCCGTGATGTTTTGGGAGTTCTTGAGTGGTGCAGATGGTTAAAGAGCTGGGTCATTACCTGGAAGGCTGGAGGCTCATACCATCTGAGATGTATCTAGGCAGAGGCTTGGCAGTCTGCTTCCATAAGATCGGAGCCACGAGAATTCTTTGAAGCACATTGTTTATTCTGCAACACATAGGGTCTCCACGAGTCAGAATTAACTTGCTGACAACTGAGTGTTTTTTTTTTTAATGAAATGTTAACGTTGCATTTAGTGTATGATTCCAGTTGTAATGAGAGATTTCTAAAAGTACTGGAAAAAAGGTACTTATGTCCTTTTATTGTAATTTTGTCTGTTTTTGTAACTAGTGATGCTTTTAATGTAATTATTATGCTTTTAATACATAATAGTATGATATGCAGATGAATTCCTTTTAGATGCATATTAATATTCTTTGGAAATTTTTTACATAGGCAGATGCACTCTGTGCCCTGGATGTTTTAAGTTGTGCAGGATTAATAAATCACTTTGGACGTTCAATGTCGGTGGAGAAGATAGATATTAGTCCAGTTTTGCTTCAAAAAGGAAGTACAAAAATTGCCTTATATGGTTTAGGTAAGATGGCCTTATTTTATTATATGTGTGCACATTACCTTTGTGAAATTGGTAAAGTGGTATGACCAATGGAATAGATGGCTGAGGTGGAATGCAGATTATATAACTAGAGATGAGTCATGGTCTTCAAAGTCCAGGGGATAAAAGGCTGGTTTAAGTAGTTACTGAATCACTGAGAATACTGACACAATGTGAAGACATTGTGAGGGAAAGGAGAGGGCAGTTTAGTTAATGGCATCAACTTCCATGGAGCAGGGGGTAGTGAATGAAGAGCAGGAGAACAGCAACCTTCTACCCTAAACCTGGACTGGATGAGGTCATCTCAGAGGCCAGGCAGGTTTCGAGACCAGAGGTTGGAAGCAACAGCCAGAGAACACTGTGGCAGCTTGAGGGAGTTTGCTGATCATGAGGAGAAAGTTCTGCAGTGTGTAGTGAAGGGTTGTAAAGGAGGTGGGGTGTGGAGTAGAATCCAGTTTCTGTGGTGCTTCTAGAGTGAGACAGACTAGGAAGAAAGGCCTGGTGATCTGTGACTGAAAATTAGTCAATGAAAACTTTATGGAACACAGTGGTCCAATCTGGAACTAATCATAGGAATAGTGTAGGGTCAGGCAGCATTTTATTCCGTTGCATAAGGAATAGCAGCTAACAACAAGGAAGACAGAACAGGATGAGGTGAGTTTGTATGAAAACAGGTAACTGAAGAGGTGTGTGACTTTCTGGTGGTGGTAGCAGGCTTTATGGAATTTGTCCTGAGTCTGAAAGTGGGAGGAGCATCCATTATTTAGAACTGAGTTAGCTATCACTAACATAATAAGTAAACAATTAATTGTTTAAACAACTGTGAATTAAAATTCTGAAGATAACATTGTTCCCATTTGGAGAACAAGTGGAGCAAATCTGATTATTCCTTACTGGTGACTGTAACTTGATTGGAAGTTTTAGTCAAATGAATTGCTTTAGTACTTATATGAACCCACTAACTGCTAAGCAGCTGCTGTAACAAACCTGGAACAATGACCATTTGTAAATAAAGATTCCGGATTTCAAATACATCTTTACTAGTAAAATGAAATACTATGAGAAGCACATAATTTAGAAGTGTACTATAGCCAATTTTTAAATCAAAGTTAAGAAAACAGTTTTAAAATAAATATTATATCTGTTTTAGGCTCCATTCCAGATGAAAGGCTCTATCGAATGTTCGTCAATAAAAAAGTAACAATGTTGAGACCAAAAGAAGATGAGAGTTCTTGGTTTAACTTATTTATGATTCATCAGAACCGGTAAAAATAGTTTCTGAAAATTTTTGAGTCCAAGTATCAGAGTTCCCCAAATCTTGGTGGGGTGTTTCCAAGATTATTACCGATTTTGAACCAGTTCCAACATATATCAACCACATATGTATGAGAGCAGAATTGTGTTCCTGGGGTTTTCAGTGACTAATTTTTGGATGTAATTCACCAAGCATTTCTTTTAAGGTTCTTCTGGGTGGATCTTTTAGGTGGGCTTTTCTAATTTTGGTTAGCAGCGGAGTGCATTAACTGTTTGTGCCATGCAGGGACTTCATAAGCATATTACAAGGGGGCTTCAAAAGTTTGTGGGGAAATGGGATTAAAAGATAATGGAATTTTCCCGTGAACTTTTTTTTTTTTTTTT